AGGTTTGCAACAAGGTTCTTAACTATCTTGACCTCAAAAAAGAATATGTTGCCAGGCTGATTACTGGAGATTTGTGCCTTCAAGATATGTTTACAGGAAATGTCTTCTGATCTATGTTGGCGCTGACAATGTGCTTTGAATTAGCATTTCTTTGCAGCTCTACTGTCATGTGGTTCATCTGCAGTTGCTTGTCCTCTGCAGAAGTTCCTGCTCCTCAAATTTGCCTAAAAAACGTAAAAAGCTAAGACAGTTGTTCCTCAGCTTAGTTCTGTTAAAGGGACTTAGTTTAAATTAAAACAGCTGTCACAAGCTGTTTTGTTTTACACTTTTTCCTGTCAGAGTATTTTAGATTTTAAAAAACCGAAAACAAACAAAACATCATGTTTGTGTGATACTAATGTGCAGTTATGCTGACAGACATGAGGTGAAGAGAAATGAGGACAAGCAACAGGAGGCAGTAACTTGTATCAGCTCAACTCCCCTCTGAGTAAGGATAAGAGCTTGCTTCTATCAAAGTAGCATTGTTTTTCTCTGCTTGACTAATGGACAAAGCCACACTTAGTGTCATGATTCAAGTACTTTTCAAAGATGTTGGCAGCACATGTAATTCAGAAGGAGAAAGTTAGACATTCATTCCTCTCTTGAGTGATTTAGCTGCTCTTTAATGAGTGAGAAAGAAGCATAGAGAAGAAGCATAGAGGAAGAGAAAGCGAGGGATTTCCAGTAGTTCCAGTCCTTTCTGTGTTTGTTTTGTATCAAACTTTCAGGTGATTTCTCTATAGGGAGTAGTATCACATGCTTCACACTGCAGGAAGCAGGAATAAAGGTACAGCACATTTAAGTGAGAACTGATGTTCTTATCAGTTTGCACAGTAATCCTGTTTGCAAGTGCAAAGTACTGGGATGAAAATGGCTAATTATGTAGTACTTCCTTACAGTGAAGGATCTGAATGGCTTTTAGTATCTGGCAGCAAGCACTAGGGTTTGAAATGCCGTCATCAATCAGTTGCAAAATGATTTCTGTTTAGTTTTAATTAAGCAAAAATACACTGCAGTCTTTGAAGAATCTTTTCCTCCTCATCATCGTTTCTTAATGCAGAAAACCAGACAGAACATGCCAAGAAACTGGTGCTCTAGTGTGGTAGTAGTGCATTACTACACTCAGCCATGGTCTTGATGGTACTGCAAGGCCATGTAATTTAAGAAACGAACAATGGAAGCTAAAACAAAGGGGTTTGAATCTGCACCCAGTTAGACTCTTTCATAAGCAAGTGAGAGTGGCCTCTCTGGTCTCACTACCTGTGCACATACCACTGACATTCAGTTCACTTATTGCAGGGAAAGCAAGCACTTCAGTGGTTCTAAATCAGGTGCCAAAACACTACTGCAGTGCAATTAAAAAATACCAGTGATCAAAGCAGAGAGCTCATAGGCAGACTAACAATTCAGTGAAATTGAGCTGTGGAAGAGCACAATCTAAAGGAGGCGGGTACCTGCAAGAGGTGACACTGTGGTAGGATATCAGTAGGGATGGCTCTCAAGCGCTACAGGAGATGCAGTATGATTTGCTTATGGCCGGTGAACTAGTCATTTAGTCATAGCATTTATATAAGATGTTTAGATTCATTATCATCCCATTTTCATATCTTCATTTTAAGTGAAATGACTTACCACATCTACATATTTATATAAATGCCTTGAAGGTGAGTGGTGGTAAAACACATTACAGGGTTGTAACTATAGTAGCAGGTCTGTTGTGTCAGCACTTAACCTTGTGACTGTGGCTGGCTGTGACTTGCTTTGTGAGTAGCTTGTGCAGTGCCCAGGAGCTTTCACAGTATGTGTCCTGCTTTTAGAATGGAAAAAGAAAAAATAACAGTACTAAATGAATACATTCGTAAGTCATAAATAAGTTACAAAAGATACCAACTAGGAGCTTTATGTGCTTGCATTGAATTTACCAACTGGCAATAATTAAAATGGTAAATGACTTTTCCTTGCATATTGCATTTAACCTTGAACAAAGCTCCACGTAATATCATATGTCTCCATCCTTGTTGAGGAACTCTCCAACAGCCAGAGTAAGTTAAATGCTTTGTAGCTTCTATGGCTGTCAGTTCAGATGAGAAACGAACCTTGAATTTATTCCACTTTCACCTTGGACCATGAAAAGAGAGGTAAACTTGAGCAACTTAAAGGCCACTTCTTTGAAGAGGCTTGCTCCTGTAAAAAATCTTACATGCTTTACTGCTGAGTGCATAAAGCATGGGACTGGAGAGTTTCCTGAGGCGTCGAGTCTAGTGTCTTTTAAAGCAATGGCATAGCGCTTCTTTTAAATAAATACCAAATTTTTTCTTGACTGAATTAGCTTTCTTGGTTGCTGTTATTTCAGTTAACAGAATTAAGATAAACATTATTTTTAAGATAAACATTATTTTAAGATAAACATTATAATTTTAAAAATTCTATTTTCACCCTTCTGGTGTTTGTTGTGGTATTTCTGGAGTCCAAACTGTAAGTTGTCTCAGCCTTCATGTTTCTGAGCTTCACAGAGCTTCACTTGAATTGCTCTGGTGAGGCTGCCTTTCTGTTGCCTTCATAAGCCCTTTTTCACACGGGTTACAGACTGGTCAGCGTTCAGCCTGCAGTAGCCAGTATTTCTGACTCAGTTTCATTGCTGCTTTTTGTGCAGCTCATTAGCTGTTAAACCCCAACAGGATATCTGCTTTTATTGTGGGTGCATTGTCTGACATTTAGGTCTTTCTTCTTCATTTTTTCTCAACCATTAGAATCCCAATTTAAATCAGAAATTCTTTTTAGTCTATGTGGTTTCCTCTTAGATTTCAATGCTAGGGTATCTTTAATAGTTGGATTTGAATGTTCACAGGCACCATTGTAAGCTGACGACATAATCTTAACAACTGCATTACAAGTCTGAACACTGCTTTATTTATGAATCTCCCTTGAATTTAACATTTTAAGGACTGTTCTATTTGTGACTCATCGGTATATTTTCCTGTGAACTCAAGTTTTAGCTTTCTTAATCCTCCTGCGTATATTTATAAATTTTCCCCACTTGGATATTTTACTAGAGAAGTAGCTTCTTCCCACAGGAACAAGTTGTCTTGCCTGCTTGGTTCTAGCAGCACTGGACATATATAACACGTTGTCTAGCAGTCAAACAATTTGCCAGGGGATGTTTTAGGCCCTGAGCAACGTCAGACCTAAGGGATGGCCCTGTTGTGAGCAGGTTGGCCTAGGAGCCTCCCAATGGCCTTCTGGCTGGGAAATCAGAACCTCTTGGTGAGGATTGGGTTCCCCCTTGAAAAGAGTTGAGCAGTGGGAAGTAAGTGAGCAGAACATTCTGGATGCACTGATGTTGCTTTTTGGGGTTGAGCTTTTCTTCCACGATGTCTGCACTTGCAATATGCTGGGACATTGCAATGGGTGACTGCGCCCAGCATGGGTTCAGGCAGACTGTTTTGTTCTGACAAGGAAAAGTTCCCAGATTTTTCATGCTATTAAAATAAAGAAAAGCAAGGAAAAGATGGGTTAGGTCTGAGATAGTCACATCTGGTCTATAGCAAGAGACAGTAACCAGTAGGAGTGCATTAGAGGAAGTCTGGCTGTTGCCTTCACAAGGCTGAGGAGATCCAGAGCGCTCAGCTGGCTCCTGGCCTGCACTGTCCTGTGTCACAGCCCCTTTCCATTGGTTCATCCATACTTCGATCTACAGTTTACTCCTTCATGCTGATCCCCTGCTTTTTTGTACATTTTATTCCAGGGTTTTCTTCTAGAATGAGTGAGTTGGAGTGATCGTTCACTCTGTGAGCTGCTCTCTGCATAGAAAGAAGCGCTGGGCCAGGTTTTGTCTATGTATCTTACCCCATTCACCATCCCAATAGGTTTTGCACTATCAAACGCCACAGCTACCCCCATGCCAGTGTGTGATATTCCTGCTCCTTGTTTACCGCTGTAAAACACTTTTCAGCAGGGTACTCCTGCTTCGTTTCAGAAAGTGGAGACCTAAAAGCACAGACCAGTCCCCCTACAAAATAACAAATGTGTCCTGAGATAGGGACTGAGAAGAGACGAGGGGTGAAATGTTAGATGCTGTGTGATGGCTGCGTGCTTTGTATTTGTTTTACAATGAACTTGGCTAAGGATTCTGGACTAATTGATTTATGGGACATTTTATCCCATTCCACATTTGGTGGTAGGAGATATCTTCATTGTGCTTCTTGAAAGGGAAAAAGAATGTTAAGGTGCCTGTTGCTTAGGTGTGGCAAGTGTTCTTGATGTGGCCGAAAACAGTGTGTTCTTTGTCACAGTGAGTTTTGGTAATAAAAGGTGAAACTTTTGAACCTCTTCATCAGTGACATCTGAATTCAGACCGGGCCTGTAGGGCATGAAAATTGTTTGGGGGTCTCTGCAGAACAGAGCAGGTTCTCAGTTCAGTTGTTTGCATTCCCGTTGCCTGGAGAAACCTCTTAGGGATGGTTTTGTGATGTGTTGTTCTGGTGGCCTGGCACTGACTGCAGCTGGAAGGGGCAGGCAAAAGTTCAGAAGAACTGAGAAGCTGTGCTGGGTGAGCAAGATTGTTGCTGTGACATGAAGTAGCTTCTTTATTAAGCTTCATGTACTGTAACTGCACTGGGTCTTTTACAAACTTAACAGAAAAGTTTCTTTAGTTAAATGCATGCTTTCATTAATATAGTTGAAGGAAGATTAACGTCACTGTCATTAAGCGTAGAAAGGTGCAGCAACAGTACCTGGTTCTTTGTTCTCAGAACTGATGCAGCTTCTGTTTCCAGTGTTGGAGGAGCTACATTATAAAGTGTCAACACTACATTTTAATGAATGTAGTGATTTTTTTTTTTCCCACTTGCTCCTATATTGTGTTTTTTTAGAGTGGTTTTTTGGTTTTTTTTTCCTCCAATACTGGTCTGTTCGTTTGGATCCATTCAGTCAGAAACACTTTGTCCTTTTTTGTCTTTCAGGCTTTATTTAAAAAGAACTGGATGCCCAGGCTGAATTTCATCTCTGAAAGCTGGAGAAAGGTAATAACAGCTTTAATGATTAATACTATAATGTGTGATGATCTATGGACACTGAATGCAGAAGTTCAAAAATGGAAGAAGTTAAAGGTGATAGAGCAAAAATAACTTTCTTACAAATGAGAAAGTGCTGGCAGGGTCCTGTACCTGTTATCAATGATATGCTTGTGCTGTTTTTTGTACTGTGGATACTTTATTGTATTCACCAGGGGTTTTCTGCTGTCTTTGGGTGTGTTGCCTACAGAAGCTCAGGAAGACTGTTAGCTAGTGACAGTGTAAACTGAACACATCTTTGAACAGTTGATGTGCTTCTAAAAGTTTGTGAGATTTAAACACAGCCTGTGCTGAAGGCCAACGTTTGTAACCTGCTTCTACTGTAAGAGTGAATTGGTGGTTGTTTAGTTTTCCTCCCTTGAACACTGAGTTAGTGCAGAGGGAGTAAAGCAGATCTGCTTTTGTGGTGATTGGATATTGCTGTAGCATAGCTCGATGTCCTTTAGGTTGGGAACGGAATCTTGTTGGGCCATGACATTATTCTAGGTTTGTCAAGTGTTTCCTTCTTCACAATGTGAGCTGATTTAGGTCCTGTGTTGTGGGAGCGTGCAGAGGTTAATGCTACATGACTAGACTGTGTGGCAAGTGTGTGTCCTGATAGGGCTCCTGTTGGCAGTAGATTCTTGTGAGGCAATGCTCTTTTCCCCTCATTCTCAAACAGAGTTCAGTGCTGGGACTCTCTTGCTTCCTGCAGGCCACAGCAGCTTTTGGTGGACTGTATGTTGACCAACTGCACCTGACATCTGGGATTTCAGAGAATAAGAGAAATGGTGACACATGTGCTGGTGATGCAGTGGATCAAAGCAGGCAGGCAGGCAAATAGAGGCTGGAGGTTTTGCTGGTGCGGGAATAGGAGGCAGTGAGAGATGAAATGTCATACTTGTGGTCTTGTGGCTGGTCGTGTGCACAAGTTGGGAGGGAACCCTCAGTCTCCTCATCACTGATATAGTGACCCCAGTGTCATTTTAGAGTTAAGCATAATGAGTGTTGCCTTAGAGAACAGTTGTTACTTCTCAGAGGCATTTTTCCCAATCCTGCTAAGGGCAAACAAGCTCATTTGAAAACTTGAGCAGAGCCAGTAAATGCATGATCTCATGTAGCAGTTGTCTTCCCTGTATCAGATACATGTCTCAGTGCAGACTGACATCAGTTACAGAGAAGTCTGGAGGGGTTTATTACCAGAATTGTACCTAAATCTGGGACTGAAGCAAGCTCTGGCCTGGGTTGTTTCACTGTGGCAGAATGGAATGCAGTACATAAGATGCTTTGGGGTTTATGTGGGGACTTAATTTTTCATTACACCATGCTGAACACTTCAGTTAAGAATAGCTTGGGAGTCCAGCACGCGTTTGGTCTCAAGACATCAGGGATGAAATTGCTAGCAGCAAATTATCATTGCTAGACCCTGGAGTTAGCTTTACTGAGACTTAAAAGGAATTGCAGTAATACCAGTCATTCATGCCATCTTTATTTCTTCTATTAGCCATTGTCTGCATGGGGAAAGATATGCCTGGGGCAATCCTGCATCTCCATCCTGTTCAGTGCAGCTTCTTACAGCATTTTCATTCTTTTCCAAGACAACTATGCCTTGTCCCCTGTGGGTTCTGTCTTCACACTCTCAAAGAAATCTGTGACAATAGCAGAAAAAAAACAGCATTTAGGGCTCCCCTTCAGGGACAGCACATCATCCTAATTAAGCATTTCTCAAAAGTGGTCCTGGCAGTGCAATTAATTCCATGTAGACAGATTCCACAACTCATTTGAAGCATTGTGTTAGATTAGATCCAAAGAAAAAATATGAAAAAAAGAAAAGAGAATGTCACCCGCTTCTGTTTGCATGCTTGCTTGGTGTTTGGTGCATGTTTTCTTTTGAATTAATTTGGATTCAGTGGCTTCTTCAGTAAGAGTCAAGCTCAGTGCTGTGTATATCATGCTCCACATAGTTCTTTTGGTTGTGCTGCCTCCTTAATGTGCTTGCCTGAGACATAAATTATTTCCAGTGGTACCCCTGTTAGGTAGCAGTTTTTGCTTTCTCTTCAGTCAGTGTCTGGGGGGGGCAGCTACTAAAGGTGTACCCTGGTAATGCATATAGTGGCCTATGTGACTAAGGGACAAACTGCATGAGTGACTGACTAGGGAGAGATAATTGTCAAGAAGATTGCTGTGCAAGTAATGGTAGTTAGTTTTTACTGCAGTTTTACTCTCTGCTTTTGCTGTGTTTTATTTTCTAGCAGAAACTAGTTTGTTTCTAACAGAAACAACCCCATTAGTTTGTTCATTCTCCTGTTTTTTCCTTCTTGCCGGCTTGTAAATTACATTGAGATGCAGAGCAGCCGCCTTGTGTGAATACATGGGTGTGTTAAATGCACAGTGATCATGCTTTGTGGGCCATCACGTTCATCATCCTCTTGTTAGGGATAAATCAATGGAGTGTGTGGTGACTGATTGGTACGTATAATTGCAGTAACTATGTGTGCAGTTACTACGTAATACAAGGCACTTGGCCTTTTAATAATGTTCTACATTACATTAAGTGTTTTTCTATCTGACTGTTGATTTTAGTCTGAAGAATTAATCATGACTTTAGCAGTGCAGGCAGAGACTAAAGGCCTGGGTCTGAATAATGTACTAAATGAAGGCATAATCAGATTGAGTAGAGCCTGAACGCAAGGAGAAAGATGAAAAAAAGGGGTTAGAGGACAAGAAGATACACAGCTAATGAGAATGTCTGTAGAGGGCAGAGACTTTGGGAGAAGCAGCTTAATTTCAAGCGTTTTCTGAAGAATGCAATAATTTGTAGGTTATTACTTTGTTTCTTTATTAGGGGAACTTTTGTGTCTTTTCACAGGTATTTAACCTACGACATGCTATCTGCAAGCACAAAATAAATTAGGGGCAGTCTGGAATTAAATGCCACTGTTATATCCAGGCATTAAAATGTTTGGAACATTATTCTTTCCAAGTTTACATTCAATTCAATAACATACTAATTTTATCCCTTTGCTTGTACTTTATTTATAAAGTTATTACAGTATTACAAAATTTCCAGTACCTAATTATTAATAACCTCAGCATTATCCTTGGGAAATGCTTAGATGAGCTACATAAAAATCTCTGTGAGCATTTCAGGACTCTTTCACTAAGACATGCTGAGGGGATAGCACTTAATCCAAACCATCTAACCCATACCTCAAGATAATTTCCCAGCATACTGCTTTCATTCTTGTAAACTTTGTGAGTGGATCATTTCCACTGTTCACTTGTGGAGCTTCCAGGAAGTCAGGTTAATAATAAAACCTGCATCTGGAAAAATCTCAACTTTTCTACTGATTTCAGTAGGGCCGTACCTTATAGTTACAGTGTGCTCTTGTGCTGAGTTACCATGCTGAACTAGTTTATTGAGGTGCCCTGTAAGTATAAATTTAGACAGAATCCATGCTGTCCTTTTCACAAGGAATCTTAACCAGCTGAACATTATGGCATGTACAGTCAGCTACAAACCCATTTTAAAGAGGCAGTGTGTATGACTCAGTTCTCCTGTTTGAAGATCAAATCAGTAACTAGGTGTCTGACCAGCCAAGGCATCTGTAGAATTCATGTCCAGGTTGTCTGAAGGAGACAAGGTATTCGTACTTTTAACAGGATGATTGATCATTAACAGGATGATTACTTGCAGCTTAAGAGATAAATAGACCAATTTGGGTCAAAAAGAGAACTTAAAATTGCAGACTAAGTGAAAGAGTTTTTGTGTGTTTAAGGTACTTATATATGTGTGTATATATATATATATATATATATATATATATATATATAGCACATGTTCAGCAACGTGTATGGTGAGCAAATAGAGATACAAAAGTGCTAAAGGAACTCTCATATAGAAAACAATGGTTCACACATTCTATTGGGCAATTTTCTTGAATGGTATGAAGTATTTATCCTTGTAAAAAGCTTTTAAATTTTATCAGGAAAAGTACACCTCCACACAACAACTTATCTGGATCTAAGATGCTTGAGACACCCAGTGAATCAAGAAGTCTACGTGAATGCATTTAACAGTTTGTGAATGTAAGAAATTGTCCTAAATGGTTGAAGTTTATGGTACTTTTCACCCTATGTAGAGGCTTATGTAGCACAAATGTCCACAGAGTTTTTGCATACCAAGTTAAACAAGGGCCGTAGCTGTGTTTTGCTTTGCTTCTTCTCACTTGAGGTCTCAGATATCAAAAGTCTTGGATATTTCACTGATAATTTCACATAACTCTGTAATCTCAGAAGAAGCAGACATTTTTGAATCTTGACTATTTTTAAAGAATTCAAACTTTCTGGCTATCACAGTGATGTGCAAAGTTGCCATGTAATCAGGAATTTCTTAAAGGTACCTATTTAATGGATAATTAAAATATAGCTCAGCTACTAAGATTTTTTTAAAAGGACTTTTATAACTTTATATTACTGAATATAATACGTAGCTGTAAGAAAATTGAAAATGCAGTGTAGGCAACTTCAGAGTTCTTAACTTGACCTTAATAAACTTAGAGAAGACTTGAAGGAATTAATAATTAAAGACATGGAAAGTGAATAGAAAGACGATGAAACACAATCTATTTTCCAGAGATAGGTCATGTCAGACTGACCTAACATCTTCTTTTTAATAAGAAGGTTTGCTTGAAAAAGAAAACTGTACTAGAACTGGTCTCTCTGGATTCTACTGAGGCTTTTACGATGGTGCAGTTTTGAAATTGTTGTTTAAGATAGAGGAGGGTTAGTTGAGTGTAAGAGCTATGAACTCAAGCAAAGAAGTGTTACAAAGAAAAGGGGAGACAAGTGGAGGTCGATAAGTAAAATGAATTAGTTATAAAATGAAGTTAATTGACTTTCTCAAAAAACCCTCAAGGTTTCTCAAAACTTCTTTTTTTTTTAAAGTTGATGTTGTTATGATATTATAT